TTTTTTTTTTTTTTTTTTTTTTTTTTTTTTGTATTTTTAACCTTACAAAATTTAATTTTTAAAAAAATTGTATATATATTAACTAAGAATATCATTCTGTCGAAAAAAACTAAAAATATCAAATTAAAAAAATATATTTACACTACGTACGTATCGCACTAATCCAAACACTAATTTTGTGCTAAGCTACGGCCGACAAGTCCTAATAGAAATCCATTTTCCAAAAAGACACCTTAAAATACATGAAGAAAGTGTATTAGGTGAAAAGTATATAATAATTATACAATTAAAGTAAATAGTCAAGAATAAGTTGAATGAAATAATATTGACTATCCATGCCAAGATTAATTTTCCTCGTGTCACCAGATATTTTCTTTATATCTCAATTATTATTATTTATTCTTATTTTCACCTTTTATCTTATTTTATTTTATTTTTATTTTTTTTATATGTACACTAGGATAAAAGAGGCACTTTTGTCTCTGTATTTTTTCAAAATAAAAAAATATAAAAAATAGAGCAAAAAGAAATGTGATTTAAAAAGCAATCATAAGAGTAAAATTAGGCATTAAAATGTGTATTAAAAGCACCTATTTTCTTTATATATAGCAGAGAAAAATGATATATTTCATGTTTCACTGTTAGTTTAAAAAGTAAAAAATAAAAATATAGATGATAAAATGAGAATGTGTAATTAAGTTTGCAATAATTGGATAGTTGTAAATATTAATTGAGAAGTAAAAAAGTTAATGTGAACACCAAAAACAACATATGACTTTATTAATAGTTATAAATAATATAGATTACGATAACTTCCATTTTATTCGAAGTTTGCACGTGAGAACCTGTTAAAACACTTTAAGAAGGTCAACAAATGTATAGTTTTATAATGTATTTCATTTCATTCAAAGTATGCTCGTGAGGATCTATTGAAAGTCTTAAAGAAAAGAGAGTCAACGTTGGTGTATTAGTGTACATAATGAATCTCCTTCGTATTCCTACGTTTGAGTTTGGTATGTTTATAATGGTGTTTGGTAGGTTTCTGGATATGCATGAGCTACTGTAGTGGAAACCACATAGGCAATAGTTCGCCCTTATGAAAATTTCTGGTCTTAAATGAACAATTTTTACTATGAAAAAGTGCACTTGTGCCTAAACAAAATCTTCAAACCACTGCTTTACACGCTCCTCACAAAATATCTCAATCTCTCTCTCTTCTTTACGAAATTATTTAAAATCTTGGTGGCTTTTTCTCAGGTTGCATTTTGTGTCATTGTATTAATATAGATTTATAAGAGTTATGTTAATTTTTATAAGTTATATGCTCTCTTTTTCATTTAATATTTTTTTATATTATTAATACAAAATGTCTATTGATTTTATTGATATCTAATATTTATTAAATAACTAATTTGACTAATCATCTTAAAAAATGGCTCTTCTTTCAATTATATTTTTTTTCATTTATCATACTTGAACATGATATTTTACATAAAAAAAATAAGTTTAATTTCATTTAGATCAATACATATAAATATAACTTAACTCGATAAATGTATCTACTTTTATTAAAAAAATGAGTCGATGTCTCATTAATAAACCTATAATAAATTAAGGGTATAAAAGAAAACTAATGATTAATGTATTTAAAAGCTAACCTATATTTTTTAGGGAAGTCTCTCTTCTTAATTGCATTTTTTTTACTTACAATACTTAGACATTGAGACCTTACTTAAGAGAATTAAATATAATTTCAACCAGGTCAGCGTAAGTATGACTTTTACTATTAGTAACATAATTAAATTTATTTTCATGAAAAATGAGTGAATGACTTGTTAATATAAACAAATTTAACTATTTATATTTAAAGTAAATTAATATATTTTTTATAATTAAAATTAAAATGATACTTTAATTTAGTTTGTAAGACTAAAAGTTTAGTAAATTCTATATCAAACTTGGTCAAATGGGTCATTATGAGTTTCGGGTTCAGGGTTCAACTTTAATGCAACAAATTAATGGCCTTGTTGCATAATGGAAAAGTAAAACAGAAGAAATACTATAAGAAATATTACATTCAATGATAAATAAAAAATGTTATTATAAGTATAAAATATATATATAGATTTATTTAATATATAACTATATATAATTTTAGTGTTAATTTTTAATAAAATTTAATAATATATATTGTATATTATTATAACTTATACTTACACTTTTTAACAATATATCAATATATGTTATATCTATAGTATAAATAAAAATAATTTTTAATGACAAATATTATGTAATTATATAACAATTTTTTTTTAATGAAGAGAAAAAAAAATACAATTCCTTTGTTTTTGGCAAACAAATTCAATCTCGAAAAACCAGAATTCACATTGAGCAGAGTAGTTAGGCTTCACAGCTACATTAAACTCAGTTCTGTAGTTTACACTAACAAGTAATTGCAAGAACATAAAAGAATTCTGGCTTGAGGAAATTGTGGCCATAATAACAGTAGTAGTCTCTTAAACCATTAAACTAACAACTCTCTACTTGGTTCTTCCATAATCATCTAATCACCTAGACATGTCACAATTTGAGGAGTACTCTATCTGCTCAGTTTCCCAGCTTAGCTTAGAGGCAACTCTTTCATGTTGTGGAAAATATTCCTATCAAAATTAAACCAAATCATATCAGTTGTAAGTTATAATGAATGCACATGGAAGCATGAATCATGTAGAGCTCTAATTGTTGAGTTTGATTTCTGTGTGTTTTCAGCATAATTTTTATTAAATGATCAATTTATCAGAAATATGAATTTTAAAATAATTATTATAAAAATCAACAGACTAATCATACATAATTATTTATGAATAAAAAAAATCGAGCTTAATTAGTAGAGAAGACTATGTAAATTACTGTAAATCTAATATCAAATTTGATTCTGACAGATAAAAAAAATGATGATTGGTGATTAAAGTACTGTTAAACTATCATTGTATGAACTATTTTTTCTTAATAGGAAATACCTCCATCTTTTTGACAAGCTCTTTTGTTGATGGAGCAGATACAATTATGTGGCGAGCTTTGGGGCTAATGAAGCCTTCTTCCACAGCTTTGTCAATGAAAGACAACAAGGAATTGTAGTATCCATCAACATTCAGCAACCCCACCTTTCAAAACCATAATTAACTTGATTTTAGAAATTATTTTCTTCATTCAAAATATAAGAAACAACAATTTTCTTTAAGTAATTATGGAACTTAATAATAGATGTTTAGCTATTTCTAGATGTTTAAGCATTGAGATGGGTCCTTACCGGTTTATCATGGATACCAAGCTGAGCCCAAGTTATGACCTCAAGAAGCTCCTCAAGTGTCCCATAACCCCCTTCACACACAAAGAGGACACACATCATCATTAATTCAATTTTCTGTCTACTTAATGGCTTTAAAAGATGTTTGTTTAAGCCCACAAATTCTTTAAATAAACGGAAAATTAAGTTTCAAAATTATGAGAGGATGGTTGACCTATCAGACGAAGTTAAAATAATATAGAATCATATATTTTAATCTTAATGCGACCATTGTATATATATAAAAAATACGAGATGATAATATTTTTTAATGATACATGACTTATATTGTTGTTGGTAATCCAATAAATGTATTCACTTTTTTTCTTTACCTTTTCTTCCCCTGTTTTTGTGTTTTCATAATCTGAAATCTATTTTTTTATATTATTTTTTCGGTTGCAGTTTTTTCTTTTTTGTTGATTGTTTTCTCGGCCATTTCAATTTGTTATCTTTTTCTTATGTATTTGTTTAATAATACAGATACTTGGACCCAACAACGAGCGACTGAATGGGCCCCTTTTACAGTTTCTGAATAAAAAAGGGAAAGAAGCGTTCTGGGGCCCTTGATTTTGTTTTTATTGGGCCTGTCAGTAAGCTTTCTAAAAAATATGCTTTTCGACACATAATAATCCAAAAAATGCATTAATAATAAAATAATTCCAAGAAAAATATTATTAATATGCTCTTTGACACATTATTTTTATTAAAACATATTGTAGTTTATAATTCTTTTATTAGATAGTCTTTTTGAAAAGATCATCTTATTTTCCACTTTACTTTATATATGTACAACAAAATGATTTCAAAATTTGTTATATTTAAAATTTTCTCTGTAAAAAGATAAAAGAATATTAATATATCTTATTGTATATTTTAAATATAAATACTCTTGAGTATTTAAATGGGTAAGTAACATATATAACTTGATCTGAAAAATAGCGCAAAACTATCAAACACATCATTTAAACAAAGAAAGCTTGTGGTTGAGTATTTTACACTGAGTTAATGAACATGGACAATCAATTCCATGTTTTTTAAACTTAGATCCCATCTATATTTTTATTGTAGTGCACAAATAAAGTAGTGCATCTGCATCACGTAGGTTGAAAAATCTCTTATGGATCATGTGAATTTTGTCCCAGACATGTCTGTACACTCCCTATGGATGAATTTTAATGTCCTCACATTCTATCACATAATGATTTGCGGTTGTCATGTTATATGTGCAAAGTTATTGACATGTAACATCATCAAGGAAGCAAAGTTTATCAAAACAACCTTACATTCATAATAATAACAGAGTTTCTACAGTGAGTACCACTTAACATGTTTCTTATCATTTAAATTTAAAGAAATCATTGGTTTTCTTTTTAAAAGTATTTTCTAGAAACTAATAAAAGAATATTTTTTTTAAAATAAAAATTTCACTAGACAAAAAATAAGTAACACCACGACAATGCTACTTTGGAGACATTAAAAAAAAAAAGTTATACATATATAACAATTCGTATAATAATTTGTTCAATATTACTAATACATAGTGTTTTACCTCTCCATCATTAATAAATATAATAAATGATGTGAAAAAGAATTAAAAAAAATACTGTTGTATAATAATATTGTATAATTTATTATATAAGTATTATTTTTCAAAAAAAAAAAAGACAAAGACAAAAAAAGTGTATGTACCATGATTTTAAACTATGATTAAATTATCATTAAATACAAAACATGCTTGATAAATTTATTATGTTTTATAATAATTATCATGAAATGAATTTTTATTAGTTAAAGGTATAAAAGTTTTCTTACACATGTTGCATAACGACAGTTAAACTCAAAATCAAATAGATTAATAATGCATAGTGGGTGGAACCATTTAAATAGTTTTGACAATCATTTAAATGGGGTAATTTTTGTTTTATATGTGAGTTTATGTAAATTAGAAAGTGCATAGCACAGTATAGTGTTGAATTTATATGTGACTTTAAGAAGGAATAATATCGGTGGAACCATGTACGAACCGGGTAAGGCAATAAAGGCATCAGAGTGCCTAGCCATCTCTGCTTTTCTTTGATGCATGTCTGCTACTGCCATCACTTCCCCCACTGTCTCTCCAGTAATCTGAAAAAAGCCAAATGAATCCAAATTATCACTGAAACCATAAAGAGGTTTTGTGTGTGTGTGAGTGAGTGAGTGATTCTTGTTGCAAGAATGAATAATAATGCATGGATAGGAATGGAAGAGGAGTAATGATGAGTGATGCAGAAGTGGGCTTCACATTTTTCCTCGGGAGATAAACCAAACAATAGACCAAACGAAGAAAGTTACTGATCAATGATAAGAAAATTGGAGATCAAACAAACAAGGGTTGCCATAAGAATCTAAGGAGGGTACATGGAACTTGGAGAGAGAGGGACAAAATTGCTCAGAAGGAATGACCCCAGGTTGCCAGGTGTATTGATGGATAAGTTTATAATGTGAAACCAAAAGCAACCTACAAGAATCACCAAAAAAAGACAAAGTGCAAAATCCATACACTCATAACAAAAGTAAAGTGCAAAATTCACTAAAGATAGATGCTATGCTATTGTTATTGCTAGCTACTTGTATTTTAGTAAAATGACTAATATAATAGATTCTTTATTAACATCATGTAACTTTTAACAGAAAGTTAATGACTAATCCTAAATGTATTTTGATTCATTTAACAAATGGACTTTTCTCAACAGATGTTTTTCATATACATAAATTAGAGATCAAATTTCTGATCACGTGTTTAAGAAACAAACGTCTATCTGCTAATTATATCACACGTTTTTGGTTGAGTAATGCTTCTAGATTGAGATAGAAAAATGTTACAAAGGGATCAATATATAAATGGCATTAACTCTTGGTCTAAAGAGTTTGATAGGTAGCATTGGAACAAGAAAAGCATATTGTGGTTGAAAGGTAAAGTATCTAGATAATTCTCTGTCTCTCGTTCTGTGTGTAGCTGTTTGGTCATTTTCTTTTTATTTGCAATCATGATTGATGAAGTGCCTCCAAAAACATCTTAACATTACCTCTCTTGGCATGAGTGTCTTGGGAATAACTCTGCAGACAATATCATGACAAGAAATAATTGAAATTAACACCATATCCTATAATCCAACATGACACCACCAACACAAATAAATCACTACAAAGTAAGATGCTCACCCAATTACATGGCGACCCCCATCATAAACAGCCTGGGAAACCAACCCCATCAAACCAATGCTGCCTCCTCCGTAAACCAGATCAATATTTCTTGATACCTTTTCAAGATTCCAAAAAGTACCCAAAGAAGTGAATTTAGTCTATAATTCAACAATGGTACTCTCTCAAATTCTCCTTCCAACAACTCTATGAAATTAGGAAAAATGGTTTGTCCTTTGTATAGACCATACTACAAAATATCCGTGTAAAAACATAGAAACTGAATTGAATTATTTCTCCCTCCCTCTGTCTTTTTTATGAAAAAACATAGAATTTTTTCTTCCCTCACTTTCCTTGAGGAGCTTATGTAGTTGAAATGTGGATGAAGGAGTATCAAGAAACAGAAGAAGAAACACCAAACAAAGGTTTAATAACCACTTAAACCAAAACAAGACCACCAAAAAGAAAAGGATGAAACAAGATAAACCAAAGCACACCAAAAAAACAATACATGACAACTCACAAGTTCAATTGGGAAACAGTATTTCAGATTAGAAGAAACATGTCATAACAAAAGAAACAAGAGAGAGAGACATTACCAACTCTTTTCCAAGCTCAATAGCAGCATCCTTATAGGTACTCTTGTTCCCGGGGCTGCTACCACAGAACACACAAATCCTCTTGAACCTTGATTGTTTCATCTCAGTTTCTTCACCCTCCATCTCTTCCTTTTTCTCACACTGTGTCTTCTCTATCATCTCAGTTTCTTGAGTTGAGAATTCGGTTAATTGATGTTAAGTGTATGTGTATGTATATGTGTGTGGCTTTATATAAGGGTAGCATAGGCACACGCGAGGGTGCATCTATTGTGGAACCATTATCACATCATGAACGATGACGATGATGACTCCTCCTCCCAAGTTGTACGTAGGAGAAAACTTGATCCACAAACGTGTGTGTTTGTTTTCTACTCTACTATGGTCCCCTGTACCAGAAAAATTAAAAGAAAAAAAAAAAAGAAACACAAACCGTGGTCCTATGTCAAGATCATGGTGCGTTTTTGTTTCACCAAATTGAGTATTGGAATGGGAACGCAATACTGGAAGATGAAGCTGAACTCTCAGTTTTGATGCCTCTAAAATACAGTTTGAAAGGGTTGGTTTGATGAGTATTGTTACTCGTAGTTTTATAACATCATTCAAGAGTTACCAAGGTTGAAAAGAAGACAAATAGCATAATATAGGCGTGGAAATGAATACGTGGAAGTAGTATCGTGGTTGTTTCTATTCTTAATATCCACGTGGGAAGTCAGAGCCAAAAGCAAAATTTAGTACATGGGTACATCTGGGACCTTTTTATAGCGAGGAAAATGTTTGGTAGACATAATTTGGGGGGTGTAGACACTTGGACTGAGATGAGATAAGGAAAAGATGAGAGAGAGTGACCAAGTGCATGATAATACTGTAATACTGTTTAACTGTTTTATAAATTAGAATTGTATAACAATCCCACTTTTAAGGTGCAACCTTTTCTTTTATTGTATATATTGACCAAGACCATGGCCACATATAATATTAGTGCATGCTTCTTTACATAATTTTAAATTGCGAACATCACTGTATTTACCAGTATTATTAAATAAAGTCATTAGTTAATTGAGCTTTAAAACAAGTATCTTGGAGGTAGCACATAATTTTCTGATATCAATTTCAAGGTATCCCCCCCAAAAAAATATCTTCTATTTGATTTGCACCAAGGATAGTGGTTAGATATTTGTTAGGACAGAGGAAGTTGACCCAATCTCCAATTTTGTGGATGGTGTTTTCAATTCTTAAAGCACAGTATCAGAATTTTTCTTTTTGGTCATGAAAAGTGGTAGCAGAAGAGGTACCCCTAATGTTAGTGGGTATAATGTTAATAGCATGTTGGTTTTATCAGTAAGAGCCATCCATCCAAGATGTAACATAGTTAGTAAATAGATAGATTCCTCAAGTATAAGTTTAATTTTCTGACTGAGTGTAGAAAATTTTTTGTTAAGAGAAACAAAATTCATTTGATAACTTTAAAATGAATTAGTCTCTGAGACTCTGACTATCTATAAGAATAATTGTTCACTACTATTAAGATGAAAATTAATTCACAGTCCTTGAACACTTGTGTCAACCTGCATAAAAATTACCACAATAGTAGAATGGCATAGCTGTTTAAGACTGGCCCGTGATACCCTTTCCCCCTCCACAGTTCTGGCTTTGACATAGCCAATTCTAGTGTTCTAGCTAAACCATAGGTATTTTCATTCGGGTAGACTTTTAATCAACTACTTCATCGCACTCGCTTCATTTTGGTATCCAACTAACGTGTCCACTCAACAACTTCCATTATCTAGCTCCTTGACTCTGTAAAAGCTCCAGAGATAAGACATCTAACTCTTAGACACACAATGAGACAATATGTGTGTTGCTATTTCTTTTGGGTAATTATCCACAGAGGTGACTAATCTCAATAAAAAAATCGTAGGTACATATAAAATAAGTATTTTTTTCTTAATATAATTTATTTTCTATTTAAGACCAGTACTTGTCAATATGTGTGTGGTGCTATCTGTCAATACGTGTGTACATCATGTGATGCCGTAGATTGTAACGTGTAGGCTATAAAATAAGGGAATTCTTATACCGTTACACGGAGACAAGATTTACATTTAAGCTCCCAATCGCATGTTAGCAATCATCCACTTTGTGTTGTATGCACCCTCAACCACTTACTTACTAGTACAAACTTGATGCATGCCTAGGAAACATTGATTCTTTTTTATCACTCAGATTTAGATTCATTGGACATTAAAATAAGTTACCCCTCGTTCCTGTTCTGCGTAGACAAACAAAGCCTTGCTGTCCCTATTCTTCTAGACTTGCTATTTTATTTTCTTCCTCATGCTTAGCTGCTTGCAATCAATTGCTAATATACAACAAGTACACATATACGGTCATATTTAACTGTTTATATTATACTGTGAATTGATACCAAAACCAAAACAATAGCAATTTTAAATACCCATTTATTTTGTTTGTATAGGTGTATTGGAGACCCAATTGGTAAGAATGTTAATAATGCTTTCCAAAAGGAAACATCACATCAAACAGTGTTTGTAAATAAAGGTGGAGGAACATGTTTTCATGTATATTTCTGCTACGCATAAATGTTACGCGTTTAAAACCACTTGATCAAAGTCGGAATATTCTATACCAATCTTCTCTATACAGTATACCTACTTATTCGTCTAACTAGATAAACGACATATGCGTTGAGAATTAGTCTAAGATAGTACTTCTCCATGAACGGAGTTTGGAATTCGTGTTTTTGCTAAAACTAAACAAACTATTAGTCTGTTGGTGTGAACCGTATTCACTGCTAGAACTATTTCTTTTTCTTTCTTACAATCCCCTTACTTTATTTCCCCACATACTCAATTCAATCGCTTTTGGTCAATCCACTAGCTTTAAGCCATGGATTAACTAAAACTATGTAAGTTTGAATGGTTTCATTTCGTCAATTCATCCGTGCAATAATAGAAGGTGATGAATCGAGAACTTGATGAATAGAAAGGAAATAATGGTGAATATGTACTTCACTGACACCAATGTTGTTTTGCTCAATTGAGACATATAGATAGGAACAAGCACGTGCTATCCCCTCCAAAACCATTCTTTGTGGAAAGAAATGATCAATTATGGGGTGTGGTCACAAAGTCCTCTTGGCTTGGTCCATCTCTTCTCTAGTGCCAATAAAAACTTGACGCATGTGTATAACCCCATGACTAGTTTGGCATGAAATTAGAGGTTAGGCTATGTTGGTGTTAAAATAATGTATGATCGGTCAAAATCATATTTTAGGAGTATAAATTATTTATTAATTATTATTTTTTGGATACCATGTGAACTATGTTTAATTGTTTTTATATATATAAAAGTAACAATATGGAATTTTTCCTTTGAACCTCACTCATTTTATGACAATGAGTTAAATACTTTGATCATGTTCAACATTCGGTAACAAATTATGAAGATTGTGCTTATTATTCCCAACACTTACTAGATAAGATGTTTGGCATTATGTTCGGTAAGTAAACAATTGCCATCACTCCATATCTTTATCCTTTGTTGGGGGAAAGCATTGCAACCGATTGTTTATTAAATAAGTATGTTAAACATATCTTACTCCAAATTAAAATAAGTAAATAAAGTTAGTACTACTCAAGATCGTTGGTGGGGAAATCATTGGTCAAATCTTGATTGATTAAATATATTCCTTGCTTGAGGGGTGTAGTGTTAATACTTTGCCCTGTTTGTTTGCAATTATAAATTAATAATTGAGTTACACAATTAATGGTGGGAACTGGGAATCCTACTCATATAATAATCATCCACACTCGCAGGTTGAGAACCTATATATCTATCCCCTTTTCATTCTCGTGATTTATTTTCACCTCAAGAATGATTAACAAATTTATAGACTAAAAGCCGGTAAATAACTAAATATGTTTGCAAGGAAACTAAATTAAAGTTCTCATTCTGTCTTTTATTCATACAAGAATAAAATGCTCGTCCAAAGGTTGCCTTTTCGGATAAGGCACGCATTCTCTTTCATCAAATTGAGGACTTAAAAGCATTAGACCAATCCATGCACAATGGAATCTAGTGTGGAGCATGTAGTTAGAAAATGAGGTCAATTTTGTTGATTATAAAAAGACTAGTCAATTTTTAAGAAAGCCTTTGATGCAAGATTGTTTGGGGAAAATCATGAATTTAGCTAATGAGCAAGCAATTAAAAACATGGTGTAAAACTAGGAAATGGGACCTACCCTTCCAGTTTCATATTGATTGTTACGAGTCAGCTATGGTCCGTGCTTTCATTTTTTTTTTGTTAAAAAAAAAAAAGAAAAGAGAAGCTTCTCCTTTTCTTTTCCACCCTCATCAGAAAAGTGTGTTGGAATTTTATAGCTTTCTTTACTTCACCTAGCATCCAATAAATTTTCAGATATCCTTTTAAGAGGGTTCTAGTGTGGTCACTTGTCATTCCCATTCATTTATTAAAGCGTGCACCTTTTAATTTTAAAAATCACATCCCTTCATATATATATATATAACCCTGGTAATGAATAAGTTATCAAGTGTAAAACCCTTGACTAGTGATTAATATATTATCACTATCCATTCTTTTTTACAAATCTAAAAAAACACTGATTTTATTCCTATATATATATATAGTTAAAAAAATATAATAAAAATTATTACTTTTAATATCTTTTATCATTAATATTTTTAGAGTAATCAAAACTAGGTTTGCATATGATCAAAAGGGAAAAATATATTATCTATATCGTTAAGTGTATCGATCAATTAATATAAAATTATTTTAACTTAATTAATAACTTTGAATTTGAATTTTGAGTATATAGTTGTGTTAAATATTTGATAAGAGAATTTTAATATTTATTGAAAAACGAGTTGGGAATGTTGGCCTGTTCGCATACCACTAATAAAATTACAAAAAAAAAAGACTGCAAAAAAAATGTATTTTATGTTCAAATAAAAAAACTGCTACAAATAAATAAATATAACTACATGAAATTGAAAATGCATATATATTGTGCATAATATATGTTCAACAAAAATAAATTACAAACTTACAACAAAATTAAATAGAAATTAGTTCCCTTACAACAAAATCAAAATCAAATTACAAACTTACAAATTACTAATAATATAAATTTTCTAATAGTTCACAAATGAAGCCCAATTACTTATGTGTGCTAATGAAACCCAATTACGTATGCAGGCTAATGAAGTCCAATTACTTATGCGGGTTGTGACGAACCAGCCCGCCATTTGACCTAACAGGTTGGTGAGCTTGACAGGACAAACTTAACTGGTTGAAATCATGGGTCTAACCCCGCCAATTTTTGATGAGCCAACAGATCGAGCCGTAACCCACAACCCATTTTACTACCCCTAAGTAAAATATTAATGTCGGACAATCATACATGCATATATCAATGTATAAATTTAAATCAAAACTTCATATTTATTTAATTTTACCAAAAACATAAATAACGTAACAAATCAAAGGATAAACAAATACTATATAAAACTTCAAAAGAAAATAAAATCTAATTAACCCTCACACGAGAGGTTTAAAATTTAGTATGAGAGAAAAAATAACAAATATTATAGATGTCCGAAACTAATTAACAAG